TCGCGCGTCGCAAAGTAATCAGGGAGGCTTGTCAGGCGGGCGGCAGCGCATTGTTTGTGCAGAGGGGAAGGACAGGTAGATCTGTTTTTTGGCAATGGTCTGTTTTCAGTTTGGGGGTTATATCTGATATCGACAATCTACACTGAAACTAAACAGGCCAGAAGAAAGCAACAAAAAGAAACATTAAGAAAGATGGTTCAATAATGAGTGTTTTGCTTGGAGAAAGATTTTAACGGAACTCTCTAACAAGAAAGTTAACATAGCAATTTCCTCTTGATGAAACTATAAGGCATAACTATCACACAACCCGCAAAAAAAACTACAAAAAGCTAATCAAATCTAAGAAGACAAAGCTCCTTTAGGGGTGATTCCATGTTGCAGACATTACGTTCAGATACTAAAATTAATATAAATTATTAAACCCCAATTTAGATGTCAAAATGTTCATTACCGGTGTTCAAACGTATGTAGAAAGTATTTTTTAGTGTCCCCTTTGTACCTAATAAAAACATGCTTTGGTTAGCTCTTAAGACCTTGAAGGTATGAGTTGAAGAAGGTGTGTTTCGGGCATCACAGTTTAAACAAACACTTTTTAAGGTAATGTTCTTTTACAGAGATTTTCCTGTGAATTTTTAACCTTAATTGTGCCTTCAAAACATAACAATAATAATATTAGATTTTTCAACTGTCAAAAAAATTCCATGCAACCTTGTTCCAGTGATTCTACAAGCAGACGTTTGCGTTGCGGACATTACACAAAATTGTTGCAGACATTACATTTTTGGGAACACACTTTTTATCATTCACTTCCTAGCTTCCACAACAATATGTCTGGGACGAAACGTCTGCAGCAAAATTCACTGCTGCACTTTCGTTCCAACGATATTCTGTCTCTATTACATCTCTTCGAAAGTACAAACTTCGATTTAAGCAGTACAGATGTTGAAAATGCTACCAATCAATTCACAAACATTATGACGGAGGCAGCAAAACGTTCAGTCAAATTAAGTAGCCAAAAGAAATCTAAAAGAAAGCCAATTACTAAGAAGTGGTTTGATTATGATTGCAAAACTTTAAGATCTTCACTTAAAAAGTTATCTAAAAAAAAAAAACCGCAATCCCTTGGATACCGAACTCAGAAAAAAGAATATCATGTTCAAAATAGAACCTTTAAAAAACTTATCAAACAAAAAAAAAAACAACAACAATTTGTTGACTCTAAAATAAATGAGTTGATTAGTAATGAAAATGACCGCACATTTTGGGATACTCTAAAGTCAATGAACGAAAACGGCTTGTCTTATAATAATATAACGAAAACCCGACCAATAAACTTTACGATCATTTTAAAACGATACACTCAGCACCTGATCCCAATACATTATCGGCATTTCAAATACACATGTTAAACGATAAAAAGCATTTGGAGGACAGCAACCATTTACAATCTGGATTCAGCTTGAAAATCAACCCCTGACACAAAAAAACCCTTCTACTTTCCTATCCAAAGCTGAGAAGAATTATTTGTCAAAACATCTGAAAAACCACCAGCTAAATTTGATAAGAACAAATAAAAAACTAAAATTCTACTCCGTCTTTAAAAATGAAACAAATCACTCTGAATTCATCAATCATATCCGGAATCCTGAACATAGGCGTGTAGCTTCCAAATTTAGGATAGGAAATCACAATTTAAAAATAGAAACCGGAAGACTTATAATCCCCAAAACTCCTGAAGACCTTAGAATCTGTGATCATTGCCACCAAAATTCGGTTGAAAATGAACTGCACATATATTATTTCACTGTGATCAATACCATGATTTGAGAAAGACTCTTTTTCTTAAAATCAACGACCGAAATACACTATTTACACATTACAATATCCATGATAAAGTCTGTTTTCTTTTTAACAATACTGATTCACATATCAGCAGGCTAGCTGCTAATTTGGTCTTTCAAGCATTTGAAAGACGAAAGAAACATAGTTAATTCTACCGTTCCATCATATCTGCATTCCCTTAAACTTAGCTGTTTATTACTGTTATTTTAATCGGTAACACCTGTACAAAATGGTAATACTGGCTAAACTTGTTGTTGTTGTTGTTGTATTCAAATGATAACAACTCCTCAACAGATATGAAAAATGTCCAATTAACTATACGTGAAGAACTGACTTCACACCAATATAATCTAATACGAAGTAACAAGAAACTAAAATTTTACTCAGTATTCAAAATTGACTGTCACAAAAGTGCATGATTGCTTGAGCATAATCAACATAAGTCCCCCCAGTACCGAAAACTCTAGAAAATTTTCGCATTTGCCCCTTCCATAGTCTTCGATCTAACTTTTACCGAGACATTAGGATTGGACATCCCCTTTTTAAGAATTTTGACAACAATGAAGAAACCCTCTTCGTATTTGACAATGTCGATCCTGATATCTGCAGACTTTCATCTCCTTACATGCAGTCATGTATGGAATGTAGACAAAAACTTGTTCTTTCATATCATAGCCTTTGTTTTGATTTCAGATTTGTAACGAATAATGTAGGTAATACCATGCACTCACGTGGGAATACTGAAATAAAGCTGTTGTTGTTGTCGTTGTTTCTGATGAGTTGAATTCACTTGTCAATGTCCGAAGAAGGAGAAGAAATTATCCACCACACCTTGGATTACTGACGAGATCTTAGCTAAAATCAACTACGCACCCACCAAGACAAACTCAAGACCCAAAGGTGCTTATTTTGACCCAGAATTTCTTCCCCCCACCCCGCCGCCAAATCAAGGAAAACGAGACACGAATACTGCAGCTAAAATGGCGGCGGCTATCATCACACGCGGGCCAATTCGATCAGCCACCCGCTAACTCAGTTATCATGGTAACTTACCCCGCCGTAGAGGACATGTTTCTCCTAAGCTTTTCTTTTGTCAAATTCGTATGGAGGCGACTGATGATATTTCCAATTCAAGCGAAGTTGGATTCCGCAGTTTTGTCTCTTACTGCGTCGACTCTGGTGGAGCCCAGGCCCTCTCTATTGAAGGGCGCGCAAAATAATTGTCCGTCTCAGTTCTAAATAGCGTAAAACGGCGTAATCCGAGATTTGTTCGGATCGTGTTTTCTTAAGAAATTTTTTCACTTTTTTCAGTGTTCTTGTTCTGTATAAAAGTACTCTTTAGAGCGTAGAAATCAGTGCATACTTTTTGTTTGTTATACTCCTCCCATATTAGTTGTTGGGACAAGGGCCTCGGAAGCAGGTGGAGGTGGGGGGTGGGGGGGTTTGAGGGGAAAGGGACGTGATTCGCTGGCCAACCTCTACCACACTTGAACGAAGCTTAGCCACTCTAAGGCCTTTTTGGTAATTCAGAAGTTAAGTCAATTTTGGAGACCACAGAAAAGACATCCATTTGTTACAGAGCCTCTTCTGTTGTAGGGTACCTTTTTCCAAAATCAGACAGAATTAATTATTAATTTAACCCTAACAGATAAGCAATGATGTGTGTACTGCTTCAATATTCACTGCAGCAGATAGGTGGCCATTAGAGAAAGTGGATGAGTATTCATTGGTGCAGTTAGCTGCATGGTCGTTTGGGAAATTACCACGTACTGATTCACCCTAACAGATAAGCAATGATTTGTGTACTGCTTCAATATTCACGGCAGCAGATAGCTGGCTCTTAGAGAAAGCTGTTGAGTACATTCATATTGGTGCAGTTACCTTGTCATTGGGAAATTACCACATATTATTCACTGTAGCTGGATAAGTAATGATTTGTGTACCGCTTGAATACTTACTGCAGCAGATAGCTGGCCAGTGGAGAAAGTCATTTGCGAAATTACCACATATTAATTTTCTGTCTGATTTTAGAAAAGGGCACCTTTCTCAGAGTCCCAACTATTGGCTAGAGTAGCTATCTAACGTTCCGTTATACAGTAGTGGTCATGCACGCAAGCATTGAAGTCATTGCACGCTGTTAGTTTATTGTTTTTCTGCTCCGGCCCATATAAGCTGTTACGACAAGGGCCTCGGATGCAGGGGTGAGGGGAATAGGGGGAGAAGGGTGTGGCTCATTAGCCAATTTCTACCATACTTGAAAGAAGCTTGGCCACTCTAAGGCCTTTTTGGTAATTTAGAAGTTAAGTCAATATTGAAACCACAGAAAAGACACACATTTGTTACAGACCCTCTTCTGTTGTAGGGTAGGTTTTTTTCCAAAATCAGACAGATAATTATTAATTATCTGTCTGATTTTTAAAAAAGGTACCTATCTCAGAATCCAAACCATTGGCTAGTGTAGCTTTCTAACTCACTGTCGTACCGGAACGGTCAAGCAGCAAACAGTAGTTTTCAACAACAACAACGATTTATTTATTAGCGAATGATAAAATGGTGCTATACAGTGAAACCCCTTGCCTAAGAACCTATATTTTAAGAACCTGTTTAGTCTAGAAATTGAAACAATTTCTTAGTTTCTAAAATCTCTGAAAAAATTTGCCTGTACCCTTGGGCAAAAGTTAGATCAGTCACTGTTCAGAATCCTCTTTGAAGACATACCTGCATTATCGCTCTAACTGGACTGTTCAAATGCCAATGAGGTCAATACTTATTTGGTGTGCAGATTTTATATGAGGAATAAGTTGAACCACTAAATTCTCTTGGCTATATTGTATGGTTCTTATTCAGAACATAACCTATGTAAGAACCTAAATAGCCTTAACCTGTACTAACTACCATTTATATATTAAAAAGAATAACCTGTTTAGGATAACTTTGAAAAATCCAGGTTCTAGGCAAGGCGAAGGAAACTGAGGTGCTGCGTTAAAGAGGAAGCTAATTAGGACACACGATTAATGTTCAAGTGAAAGGTATATAATGATAACCTTCAATCGTCAATCTCGCTGCCCTCTTGGATACATGGTAGGGCAGCATAAAAACGCTCGGCACGTTCACTTAAATATTTTCTAGCTAGATTTAGACACTGCTGCTTTACATCTTCACGAATTGGCCTTAGTTCCTGCCTCAGTGTGGTCAGTAGGTCTATTCGCAGTGGAGTTGCTTGCCCTTTTCTTTGTGTACGAAACTAGCCTGGGTTGCTGTTTTGGGTCAATAGTGAAACGCACGAAGGCGCAGTCGGGATGATCTACAACTTTCAGATTGCCCCTGTCATCAGGCTGTTCCCCAATTCCAACATTAATCCACGCGATTTCTTTGACCTCAAATTTCTCGTGCTGTAAATCTTCGTTTCTACTGACGTATTTTAACTTTAAAAATGACTTGTAGTCCTTTATCATGTCCAGACCTACCCAATAGACCTTGACGTTTGATAAACCACTGCTGACTAGAACGTTTTCCCAGTCTTTGGGTGTTTCAATTTTCTCTTGGGCGTTAAAAACTTTTTGAATGTTTCCAAAATATCTATCGCACACACTATACGAGTGGCCCTCCAACAAAAATTTTAAGTCTGTTCGTAGGAAGTCTCCTCTTGTGACCAGGTAATCCAT